GTCTCCGACAAACCAGACCGGCCTCCAACTCCAGTCGCGCCACACTGCGGTGGCCCACCTCACTTACTCTGCACCGGTTGGCCGCCACACCTACTAGAGCGTCGACAGCATCACTGTCTTGCACCAACCAGCTCGCGATACGTCTCTGCAAGATCTCGCGCGCTGCGAGGTGAGGCGAGACTTGCAACACTTGGACATCTGCAGCTGATCGCGACTGTGACTGCATCAGCTGGCCGATGGCAGGCCACCAATCCGCACGTTGACAATTGGGCCCGGCACGCAGAAGCTCCTAGCAACCACGACAGACTTCGCCATCGCCAGCGACGCACAGCACGACGCCGCTTGAATACCGAACAACACTTTCCAAACACTACAACTCTCTTCGTGAAACAGTCCGCCGAGCTCAGCCACCCCGCAGCGGGCCGAACAAGCACGGCCCCAGCACGTCCGGCAACTGGATCTGGAGTAATGTTATGCCCAAGCCCACTCGCCTCACCCGAACATCATGGGCGTCGGCCCCGCCCGACGCGCTGCCGAAGGCGAAGCGCGGCACGCCGAACGCGCCCGCCCACGAGCTGCCCAGGGTCAAGGGCGCAGCCCTGTTGCCGCAGCTTCACGACGTCACGTCATGCGGCGCGGGATGGGTCGCCCAGCTTGCCGGCGCCACACTTCGGGCCCAAAAATGTTATTCCCTCCTGCTCCGTCGCCGCCATCGCGAATCAGAAAACGCCCTGCCGTCGCAGGTGCAGGCGCAATCCCGCGCGCGACGGGGCGCCGTCTCCAGATAGATACCACAAGGATCGCATAATAACTCCACGTCGGACAGGACGGCCTGAGACTTGCGAGAGGTCGCCCAAGCCCCGCCGACTTCGCTTGACAACATGAGCTCCGACATCAGACGACCCTTGTAGCCACGCGCAGAAGATTAAAGATAGGCTTGTGTTATGTATACAAAGGCAAATCTGCACCCCCGCCAGCCCCTCGCCGCCGGAGTGGCCCGCCGCCCCGCGCCAATTTCGCGAGACCAAAGACGCCCCGAATTCCTCCACAAAGGCGTCGCTTGATCTACCTGAACCACTCCGTCTCACGGGGCACCCAAGCACGACGATCGTCTACGCTATCACTCGCGGCACCCAACTCGGCAGCTGAGACAGGAAGCCACTCGGCTCGCAACACGTAGACGACAGAGGCCGCAGGGCTACGGATGCGCCGCGACCTCTGCGCCTCTGCCAAACCCGACATCTGCGCCACAATATCGGATCACGCGCGCTGAGTGCCAGTCCGCAGCCTCGGCTCTGCCATCCAGACCTGCAGCCACTGCGCCAAACAATGCCGCGGCAGCGTCAGACCTGGGCCGGGCCCAGGCACGGCGGCGGCGCAACTCCCTCGCTTCGCCGAGGTGGCCGCCGCCGCCAAGCGCCGCCTCTGCAAAGCCATCGCAGACTCGAAGCAGCCGTAGTCCTGGCGGCCGCACACCGCCGCCGCCTGCGGGCCCGCTCTCTGCACCTTCATCGCAGTCGCACATTTCGCCGAGGCGCGCGAACTTCCTCAACCTCACATGCTGAGCTCCAGATTTGCCAGTGCGCCGCTGGGCCGTCACCCGCGCTTGCCGTCGCCCACCCCCCACGTCGATCCTCGGGCAGGGCGCCTGCAAACCACCATTGACTCGAATACCCCTGGCGCAGAGGAGCTGCGCCGCGGCCTTCGCGTCAGCGCGCGCGGAGCACGCGGCCGCCAACTTGGGCGGCATGATCAAGCCCTGCTCCACAAGATACCTGACTGCGCTCTCAATGCCCTCGGCGAGTGTCAACCTGGCGCGGCGCCGCGAAACAACGAGTCGCTGAGAAAAGCCATGCACCTGCAGCCTTTCTGGAAGCGCTGGATGCGCTACACGAAATACTTGCCACGCCCAATACGTCATGCCACGAGCAAACCTGGTTCCATGTCTCGACCCCTGCACCACTGATTGAGCGCGTTCGAAAGGATTCGAACACGCATCCCGACGCGCCGCCATGCGCGGGCCCAGGCGGAAAGGAGGCTCAAGAAACAATAGAGTCGGCCAGAAACGATGGTCCAGGGCTCCGACCGCGAGGCGCGGCCACTCGATGCCGTCGCAAACCGAACGCACGTCTACTGGCCCGTGACCAAGATGCAAAACGAGATTCACAAGAATGCCCTCCTCGAGAACACAAACGAATGCATCGCGAAGAGCACTGTCGCCGGCCACCGCAGCGCCCCACGTCGGCTCGTCGTCCAGCGAGCACCCCCGCATCTGAAGTTCGCGCGCCATGCCCCAGAAGCGGCAGGGCATGGCCAGCAGCCCAACGACGAGTTCGCCCCCGGCCCCCCGGGCAAAAGCCGCCCGACCACGGCTACCACTTGCCATGGCCATGACAGCCCCTGCTCGACCACGGCACACATGTCGCATTATTCCTGCAACGCAGTCGGGCAGCCGCCCACAGTCGAGCGGCAACATCCTGTCGATGCCAAGACCAGCGCGCCCCTTCATGGCGACCGCAGCTCCTCGCCTCGCCGCCACAGCCATGTCAACTGGACGCACCAGACACTCGGACGAACATGGAGCTCCCCCGCCACCCGAGGCGGCTCCGCGATGGCCCTGCGAATGCTGCCGAGGGGGCCGACTGGCACGATCCAATCTTGGAAATGCCCCAGCGATGCCGCGGCGGCGCGCCCTTGAGCGTGCCCGACCGCGCGCCCCGGCCAGGCCCGGAGCTCCTCGAGCCGCGGCAGCTCCAGGTCCAGGGTCTCGATCACCCAGGCACCCTGGACGAGCGCGATCCACGATCCGAAGGTTGGACAGCTGGCGACCTCGGCGCCCTCGGGCACGCCGTCCAACGACTTGCCCACTGCATGCGCCAATCGAAACAAAGCAGAACCGCCCCTCCGAGTCCGACGCCTGAGAACCTTAAACATGACGGTGCGAAGACCCCCCCACCACGAGGCCACGACGCGGCAAGCTTGAGCCAAAGCTGCCAGGGACCCTCGCCCGAGCTAGCACCTGGGCTGTCGCTCGCCGCGATGCCGAGCTCCTGCGCCAGCGCCTTGGCCGCCGAACGCCTCTTGAGTTCCGCGGACGCCAAGAGATTGAGCGCCTCCGCCTCCTTGGCGAAGGTCCGCTCCAGGTTCTCGAGGCACCTCTTCACCTGCCCGCCGCCTGCGCGTGGCGGAGCGAGGTGTCCTTCCAGGCGCCCCGCGCTCGCCTCACAGCCCCGGCAGGCTGCGGAGGCGCAGCGGCGACGGGCTGCGCGGACACCTCCACCTGCTGTTGCAGCGCCGTCTTCGCTTCGGGGTCCTTAGCCAGCGCAACGGCCTGCGCCAGCAGGCTCCCGACCGTGGGGGCCTCCACCAGCCCGTCGCTCAACGCTGGCGGCGACTGACCTTGGCCGTCCTGCTGCTGCTGGCCCTTCTGAGGCTTGTGCAGCCGAGCTGGCCTGTTGCACCTGCGACAAGTCATCTGCGCCTTGACGAAGGCGTCTTTGTGCTCGCACGAGCCGCAGGCCCTGCACGTGGACCAGAACCGTGCGACGACATCGCTTGACCGGCGAACCTCTCCTCGCCAAGGGGAACGACCGCAAGCGGGAGCGGGAAGCAATGCCTCACGAGGAAGTGCAAGGCCTCAGCTCGATACCGCTATCAAAAGGATGCGAACGAGCCAGTATGCTTTTTGCACCACTCGCCTCGCCAAGCGTGCTGGCAATGTACTAAAAGTGCGTCGCATGCCTGTCCTGCGAACGTTGCCGAAACGCAAGTGAGGGAAGACGGGAACGGGCCATGCCACGATTACGTTGCTGCTAACTGTGCGATCGAGCCAGTATGTGCTTGAGGAGGCGAGGGACGAGGGAGAGCCGAAGAGGAAGGGTGAGGCAGGCGCTAGTAGCCAAGAGGGAGCAGCGAGAGGCCAGGAGCGAGGTGGGAGGTGCGAGGAGTGAGAAGGGATGAGCCGGGAGCGAGGAAAGAGAGGCGAGGAGCAAGGAGAGAGCGGCGAGGTGCGAGGAGCGTGGAGCGAGGAGCAATCACGAGCGGCGAACGTATCCATATCCGCGCCCTCGCGGTCTGGATTCTGGGGCGCGATCCCGCGGATAGGCGGTCGCACGGATACTCTCCGCTCAGGGCGTCCGTGAAAAGAACGCCGCCTATCCGAGGGTCGCAGTCGCAGCCCAGGGGACTGGCCCACAAGGCCGCGGATACGGACATGTTTTTCGCCCACGAAGCAAGGAACAAGAAGGGAGGAATGAGAAGAGGCCAGCACACGAATCCCTCAATGGCCTCGGCGCGCGTGGCAGACCAGCCGGTCTCCTCTTGGACAGTTCATGCGTGGCCAGCGCGGTCCAAAAGCTCTCTACGGGATCTTCTCTCGGAAGCCTCCGGGAGCCGGTTTTAGGGGTGTCTTGGGATCGGGGGTCTCTTGGGGCCCGAATTCAGCCTCCTGGAGCTTCTGGGGGTCCGCTCAAGGACCTGCTGGCGATCATGGGGGTCATCTGGGGGCGGAGGGTGCGAAATGTAAGTTCGAATTCCCCCTCTTTTGGCCCTTGGGTCCCTCTTGGGGCCGCCATGGGCCATCTTGGGGGGCCCTTGGGTCGGCTTAGGAGCCGACCCAAGGGCCCCCCAAGACGGTAAGCCGTTTTGAGGCGATATTGGCTGCCTCTTGGGCCGTCTTGGAGCCTCGGAAGCCCGAAGAAGCGAGCACGTCACCAAATCTATCAAAACAATCCGGGAATTCAATCATGTTGGGCTCTCGGGGGCCTCTTGCAGCCCTCTTGTGAGACCGTCTGAGGTCATGTTGGCGACCTCTTGGACCGCCTGGAGGCGTCTCGGACCATCTTGGAACGACTTCGGGTCCCCTTGGATCGTCTTGGAGCGTCCAGAACGTTTTTGTTTGACTCCGGGGGGCATGCAGGAGCCAGGGAAACATCGGGAAAACTCGATTAAGACACGGACCCTTTTGGCACGCAGGAGGCGCTGCACAGTGGAAGAAATGCAGTTGGGCTCCAGCTTCGCCACCCGCATCTCGCTCAGCAGCGCCAAAGCTTGCTGCCACTGGTTGCCCTTCTCGCACGCGCTGATCCCAGCGCTGTAGCTGACTAGTGCTGACCCGTGGACTACGTCCACTTGCAGGATGAGGCGTGTGGGGGCCTCTGGGGGTGTCATTACAACGTGGGGCTCGACCCTCGCATTCGGCGCATGCCTCTGCGTGGTGTTGCTTGCTGCCGCTGTTGCATGTTGTCGGTATTACTTGCCGCTGCTGCGTATGCGCGTGGGCTGCGTGGGCTGGGGAGAAGATCGAAGGCTCTGCGAAGCATGCCCCCAACGGCCAGCCTGTCCGGAGCACTCTCAGCAAGAACTCCCGGACGAGTCGCCCATTCAAACCAGAGCCTTTGCAAAGGAGGGGAGAAAATAAGAGGCGCATAGGCGCCTATCTTTCTGAATGGCGGGAGCGGTCCCAGAGCTCTGTGAGAGACCTTCCCTCGGAAGCCTCTTGGAGCCAGTTTGGGCAGTGCCTCGCGGCCTCTCGAGGGTCTCTCGAGACCTGATTTTGGCCCTCTTCGGGGGCCTTCTGGGGGGCCTCTTGGGGGCCACCTGGAGGTTGCGGGGATCATCGTGAAGCGGAGGGCGAGACATCAGGGCTGAACCTAAACGGTGTTTTTCGTTTTCGTTTTGCCTCGCTTTTGTCTCGGATCCGCCTTTACCGCAAAACGAAGTCGAAACGAAAACGGCCCGCGAAATCACCGAAAACACCGTTCAGGTCCAGCCCTGCAAGACATGTTACTTCGAGCTCCACCTCGTGCGGCTCTCGTGGGGCCGTCTTGGACTGTCTGTTAATGGCCTCTTGGGCCCGTCGCGTGGCCCTCTTAAGCTGTCTGGGAGCTCCCTGCGGGGCTCCTTGGGCCATCCTGGCGCGACCTCGGGGGCCCTGGGACCGGCTTGGAGCGCGGAGACTCCGAAAAGGCGAGAACGTGGAAATCCGTCGTAAACCCACGGGGCCAAATGATTTTTGCCTCTCGGGGCCCTCCTTGCGGGCCTTGGGGCCCTCTCCGGCTCTGTGGCGCCGTCTGGGGCGTCTGGGGCGTCTGGGGGGCCTCTTGGGGGCCAGCTGGCGGCTTCTGGGATCATCCTGGAGCGGAGTGCGCGAAATGTTACCTCGATTTCCCCCTCGTAGGGCCCTCTTGGGGTCTTCATGGGCCGTCTTGAGGACATCTTTGGCCGCCTTGGGGCACTCTTGGGCTGTCTGGGAGCTCTCTGCGGAGCTTCTTGGGTCATCTTGGCGCGGTCTTGGGCGCGTTGGAACCTCAAAAGGTTCTTAGAACATTGTCTGGTAGGGCTATAGGTGAGCCAGGACGCTTCGCCACTGCTTGAAACTAGGAGGCGTAGGAAGTATAGGCTAGTGCGAACGCGTGGCTTGGAGCCACGGCGTGCTGAGCATGGGGCTCGCACGCCTGGGGCTGCGAGCGGCGAGCGCCCCAACCCTCGGCCATGACCGGAGAGGAGGAGGAGAAGGATGGGTGGGCGAAGGAGGACGAGGAGGAGGAGGAATTAGAAGAGGACGAGGAGGAGGAGGAGGAGGAGGAGGAGGAGGAGGAGGAGGAGGAGGAGGAGGAGGAGGGGGGGGAAGAGGCGGAACAGGTGAATCAGACATTGGGGCAAGCTCCCTCGCATCCCGCGAGCAGGGGGCAAAGGCTCCCCGCGAACCAGACGGCACCTGGCCAGCGCCAAGCGCAACCTGGAGCACGACGCCGCTAAGACGCTCGTGGGGCTTCTCATGGAGCTTGGCTGGGATTCGTACCATGGTGGCTGACATGAGTAGCAAAAGTGATTGGCACTGGTACCAAAGTGACTGGAGTTGGAATTGGCTCTCTAATTGGTTGCAAACTGTCCCATCTCGGGGTCTCGGGGGAGGGGTCCAGGGGGGGGGGTCCCATGGAGGCGTCCTGGGGGCAGGGGGTCCTGGGGGAGGGGGGGGGGGAGGTCAGGGAGGTCGTGACCCCCCGCGTCGGGCGGCCCCCATCTGTGGAGAAGGGGGACGGGGGGGTGGTCTCCCCGTTGGCAGGGGAGCACAGGGACCCCCCCCCCCCCCCCGCGGCCCCCGGGGGGCCACCACCACCCCCTCTCTCGCCCCGGACCCTCCCCCCCCCCCAAGAGGCACCCTCCTCACTCTTACCTGCTGTCGCGGGGTGCTGCGAATTCTCTCGCCTGCATCCACGAGGCCTCAGATCCGCTCCGAGGCGGCTCCAAGTGACTACGGAGCTTCCGAGCTTCCCAGGAAGAGGCCCCCTAAGAGAGCCCACGAAGCCCCCAAGAAAGCCCCGAGAAGGGCTCCAGAGCGTCAGAGTCGTCGTCGTCGCCGTCGCCGCCGTCGTCGTCGTACCCCTTCAGGGTCGACGGCACTGGCCGAAGGCCTTCCAATACAACATAGATTGCACAACATAGATTGCACTACCTTCATTGCTCCATGTAGTTATAGAGTGCACAGCGTCGATTGCGCCACATTGATTTCACCACATATATTGCACAACAAAGAAAGCACAACATAGATTGCAGAGCATGGCACAGCACATGACGCCCAACAAAGATTGCATCCGACAGGTTGCAGCACATTGATTGCTCCACATCGGTTGCACCCCACAGTCATAGACAGCACCGCACAGATTGCACCACATACATATATATATATATGTATACATGTATATACAGATATGCTCTATATATATATATATGTATTGTGCAACGGCGAGTGCAAAACATAGATTGTGCAACATAGATCGCACCGCCTAGATTGCACAGCATAGACTGCGTAACCTGGATTGCTGGAATACACACTGTTTAGGGCCCACGCTGGGCAACATGATGCTGAACTCGACGGGCCGTCGTCGGGATCCCCCCGGGTCGTCTTGGAAGTCTCTGCTAGCCGTCTCGGGCTCGCTTCGGGTAATTCTTTTCTTAATAAATAACTTCTCCCTGTCGCACCCCGAGGCCTATTTTCAGGGCGGACCGGGCGCTTCGCTTGAGACTTCCTCACCGCTTATGACCCTGAAGCTTCAAACATTGCAACAGCTTCACAGATGGAGGGCGGGTCGTTTTCAAAATGTGGCTCTCGCCTTAGCGCCGCACACATTAGTTTTAAAACTTTGCCAGAGTTTCACGAATTGAGGTCGGTTACTTTTCAAACTGTGGCTCTCGCTTTAGCGCCGCGCATATTCGTTATCAAACTTTGCAAGAGGTTCACGGATTGAGGGCGGCTCCTTTTCAAAATGTGGTTCTCGCTTCAGCGCCACGCACATTCGGCATTTAAATTTGTAAGAGTTTTACGGGCTCCCATTATCAGCGTACCAGAAATGGTGCTTTGGACGGATTTAAGATTATGAGGGTGCAACCGTTACATGGATTCGCGGGGTTGAAGTCCCAGGAATGGCGTTCTGGCAACAGTCAAGTTGATCCGTGGCGTTGCAATCTCGAGAACAATGTTTGGGCATGCTTCAGGGTAAACAAACGGTTGTCTTCCAACGAGGCAGTTCCTTCAGCGGAGATGCACCGCTGTCGGGTCCTATGAAGAGGGAGCTGGGAGGGAGGGTTTATTCCAACATCGTTGATGACTCTTGGGCTTGAGTTTACTCTGGACCTCCTTCTCTTCCTCCTCCTCCTCCTTTCTTCCTCCTCCTCCTCCTCCGCCTTCTCGCCTCGTCCTTCTCCTCTGGGGGCGCCAGCGACCGTCTAGGGCCCCCCTGGACCGCCGGGGGGCCCGCCCCGTGCCAAGTTCCGCTGGTGCCACCTCGCAAGCGGAGCCTGGCTAGTGTAAGACAGATGACGTCGGGCTCCAGCTTTGCCTCCTGCATCTCGCTCAGCAGCGCCAGAGCCCGCTGCCACTGCTGGCCCTTCTCGCACGCGCTGATCCCAGCGTTGTAGCTGACTAGGGCTGACCCGTGGACTCCGTCCACGACATCTGGCCAAGAGTATTCTAGGGGGGAGCGGCGGGAATGGTGCCGAAAGGCTATCCGCCCCTTCCACAGCAGCGCCCCGAGCTGCACCAGCACGCTCCGTGGCGCCTGCTGACGCCGCCCGACGGGGACGATGACGGCGGCGGCGGCGGCGAGACACAGAACGCTTGCGGGGAGGTAGTTCGGGCGCGCGGCGCCCCTGGGCGATGATCCCACGGTTAGCCACTTAAGGTCTCCTAGGGGCCGTGTGGGGGCCTCTTGGGGCTTCTTTTGGGCTTCGAGGGGGCCTGTGGGGGCACTCGTGGGCTCTCGTCGGTGCCGTTTGAGCCGTCTCGGAACCGTCCTGGGCCGTTTTGAGCGCCTCTTGAGCCGTCTGGGAGCCGTCTTGGACCGTCTTGGCGGTTGTTGGGTCTGTCTTGGGGCCGTGTTGGAGCCGTCGTGGGCCGTCTTGGGCGCCTACCGGGCCGTCTTCGGGCCGTCTGGGACCGTCTTTGGGGCTGTTTTGGGTCCAAGAGGGCTCCAAGAGGGCCCCAGGACGCCGCCGGGCGCGGGCCCACCATTCTGCCACAAGAGGCCTTTCTGTGGCAGAATGTGCCCGGCCCTGTCTTGGAGGGGCCCGAAGGCCTCAAGAGGGCCGCAAGAGCGCCCCAAGGGGGCCCCAAGAGGGCCCCAAACCGCATGTACTTGATATGCTTCTTGGGCTTGGGAGATGGGCACCCAAGTACATGCGTCTTGGGGCCTTGTCGGGGCCATCTTGGGGCCCTCCTGGCCCACTCTTGGGGCCCCTCGGGAACGCTCCCACCCTGTCCTGCCCTCCTCTTGGGGCCGCCATGGGCGCCTGAGGCACCGTCCTGGCGCAGTCTTGAGCCGTCTCTGGGCCCTCCTGGCAGCCTCCTGAGGCGTCTTGGGACGATCTTGAAGGCCTGTGGGGCCGTCTTGAACGCTTCGAAGACGAAAAGCACGGGAACTCCCGAAATGTGCGTTTTCCCTTGGGATTGGGACGATTGTTCGTTGTTCGGGCTTTCCTGGGCTCTCTCTCTATGGAGCCCACTTGGAGCATTTTGGGAGCCTCTTGGGCCGTCAGGCGGCTGTCTTGGGCGTCTTCGTCGAGCGCTCGGGGCCCGTCTCGGAGGCCCTCTTGGACCGTCTTCGTGCCCTCTTGGGGCCCTCTCGGGGGCCTCCGCGGGCGGCTCGGAGCACTCTTAAGCCATCTTGGAATCGCGCCGGGGCCCCGAGGCCCTCTGGGGAAGGTTCTGGGGACGTCTGATAGAGCTCCTTGGAGGCCTCTCGAGCTGGCTTGGGCCAATCTTGGGCCAATCTTGGGCCAACGAGCGTGTGGGGCCCACCGGGGGGGTCTGTTTTGAACCGACTACGGGGCCCTTTGGGCCCGTCTTGGGGCTCTCTTGGGGTCTCTTCGGCCGTCTTGGAGCCGTCTTGGGAACGTCTTGGGCGGTCGTGGATCGTCTGGGACAGGCCCGACTTAAGCGTAGCTTCGAGCCTCTCTGGACGGCCAGGGGCGGCCCGGGGCCAGCCTCTGGGGCGATGTTGCCCCCATGGATCCCGCGGCCTTCTGGCACGCCGGGCCCCCGGCATTAGAGTACAGACTGGTGAGAACCCGTGGATGACATCCACGGTTTGCTGAGCCTGCGAAGCTCAAACCGCAGGTTTGATCCACGGAATGCGGCGTCGAAGCCGAGCAGCTCGTGGAGCTCATGGGAGAGGACGGGGGGGAGGAACAAAAGTGCGGGTGGAGGACTTCGGAGCGCCTGAGCGTGCCGCGGCAGCGACTTCGTGGAGGAGAGGACACGGTGGGCTTTTGTCGTGACGGGCTGCGCTATGGCTCTTGACACCGCGTGGAACGCTCAACCCAGCACGATCGGCAGCTTTGGAGTCGCGAGATCGCTCGACATTGGCCGATTCTGGACCAGTGTCGGCGTTGAGCCCTTGCTGTCGGCGCTGAGGTCGCCGCCGCGTCGGCGCGACGCGAATCTGCACACGCCTCCCCGCTGCTCAGCGACGAGGGTCAAGCGCCTCGTTCTCAGGTGGCGCGAGACGGGGCAGGCAGGCAGACACGAGGAACGGCTCGAGGAGGAGGGAGAAGGGAGCGAACGCTCTGGGAGGCGACGAGATGCGATCCCTCTGCCTCGGGCGTGGCCCAAGCGACCCCATGTGTGACGGGCACTCCGGTGTCGACCTCCCCACTGTTGAGGCCGGCCTTTGGCTGCGTGCGTGCGTCTTGCAGTGGGGCGAGGAGGCCGCCACGGGAGAGCGCTGGTCCGCTGGGGGGGGGGGGGGGCCCTTTCTGAGCCATGCTGCGTCGGGCTGTGAGCGAAGCGCCCTGGCCCAGCACACCGCAACAACAGTGATCCGCCATGACGTTCCTGCTGGGGCGCGCGCTCCGCACGTGACCCTGCATCACCTCCCCTACTTTCGGGGCCTCCCGGGGGCCTGTCCGGGGCCTCAGGGGCCACTCTTGGTACATTTTGGGTCTCTTGGGCCGTGTCGGGGGCATCTTCGGTCCTCCTGCGAGCCTGCCTGGGGCCTCTGGAAAGCCTCTTGCCGTATTTAGGGCGCCTCTGGGGTCCATTCCTGGGCGATCCCCCTGAGCCCCTTCTGGAGGACAGCCGAGGAAGCGTATTTTGGAATCGCCTTGGAGCCATCCTGGGGCGTTCCTGGGGCTCTCAAGGGCTCAGTGGGGACTCTCTTGGGGCCGTCTTGAAGGGCACATGAAGCTCTTTGGGGCCGGCTTCGGGCGCTCTTGGGCCATCTTAGGTCCCTTTTGGGCTGTGTAGGGCCCCTCTTGGGAGCCTGCCGGGCAATGATCGGGCGATGTAGGAGGCGCTGGAAGCCATATGGAGCCGTTCTTGGTGCGAAACAGGGATAACCTGAAAAGTCTTTGAAACAAATAAGCAAATCTACAATGTTGGCCTCGTGGGACCTTCATCGGGGTCCTCTTAGGCCGTCTTGGGCGGCCTCCTTGCTTGTCTTGGGACCGCCTCGAACCAGTTTAAAGCTCGCGTCGGGTTCTCTGGGTCCGTCCGGGCGCTCTTCTGAGCGTCTCTGAGCCGTCGTTGGTCGTCTTGGAACCTTCTAGCGACCGTCCAGGGCCGTCCTCAACCTCCTCCTCCTCCTCCTCCTCCTCCTCCTCCTCCGCCTCCTCCTCCTCCTCCTCCTCCTCCTCCTCATCCTCCTCCTCCTCATCCTCCTCCTCCTCCTCCTCCTGCCCAGGACCACTCCGGGAGCGCCGGGGGCCTGCACGGCGGACCGCTACACGGGAGCGCCGGGGGGCCGCCCCGGGCCGAGCGACAGCAGCGCCGTCTCGCATGCGCCGGCTCCAGCAGGGCCCCTCCCCGAGCCGGCCTCGCTCTTGTTGAAGGGGCCCTGGGACACACAAATAAATACACACAAATAAAAGGGTTCCCCACACGTTCCCCATCTTTCCTTGCTTTTTGTCTTCCCCCCACTTCCCATAGTTTCCCATATCTTCTGGGGAGCCGACGATTCATTATGTCTGTGTGTGTTTTCTCCGCCTCACTTGTGCCTCCGTCCGGCTGCACCTCCCCGAAAGCCGCACGCACTGGCACGCGATCGCGGACATGCTGCAGACAGGCTGAAAATGAGGATGCCGCGCGCGAACTTCGCACCCCACGGCATGTTTCCGGTGTGCTGTCCGATCGCGTTTGGCCCCTGCTCGGAGTTTCTTCCGGCCCGCCCCCCGCTAGAACTTCTTCCCAGCCCGTGTCCGATTTGTTCCACACATCCAAAGTGGGGTTCTTGTTTTCTCTGCACACCCCGCGCAAGAACACTCACCCCACCCCCTCTCCTCTTCTGCCTTCGCACACTCACTCACTCACTCATCATCATCACCACTCACTCACACTCACACTCACTCACACTCTCTCATCATCAACATCAGCATCATCACTCGCGCTCTCTCGCACGCTCAGTCACTCACATACTCATCATCATCACCATCATCATCATCATCAGTCGCACTCTGTCACACGCTCACTCATTCACATACTCACCTGGAGGAAGTCTCAGGCGGGAGTTCGTCTGTGAGTGAATTGTGAGGAAGTCTCAGGCGGGAGCCCCCTCCCTATGGGGCCCGCGCTTCATGTTGGTAATCCGAGCGGGTCATCCAAACCCTGTAACTGTCGTCACTTCTGGGTTCTTCAGGCCTGAATTTGGAGGAAGTCTCAGGCGGGAGCCTCGTCTGTGAGTGAATTGTGAGGAAGTCTCAGGCGGGAGCCCCCTCCTTATGGGGCCCGCAGATCATGTTGGTAATCCGAGCGGTTCATCCAAAACCTCTAACTGTCGTCACTTTTGGGCTCTCGCGCTGCCAGAACGCCATTCCCAGGCCACATTGGGAATGCCCGGAGCCAACTGTAGGCCACTTCGTGTTCTTCGTGTTCCCAGAACACCACTCCCGGGCCACATTTTGAAACCCCGGAGCCAACTGTAGGCCACTTCGTGTTCTTCCTGTTCCCAGAACACCACTCCCGGGCCACATTCTGGATGTCCGGGCCCAAGTGTAGGCCACTTTGTCACTCCCGGGCCACATTTGTGAATTTCTCGGGCCATCATCTCATCCGCCGACGGTGGAAATCCAGCACGCCATCAAGGTCTTCTCTCAGATCCCCTGCGTCTTCGAGCTGAAGGGCACGAAGCGCTTCGAGCCTGGGGACCCGCTAATCACGTTCCTGGGCTGCACGCGCGAGAGCAAGCCCTTCCCACCGGAGGTCTGGTCCGCCTGGGAGAAGACGTTGGCCACGGACAACCGCGGCGTCCTGGACCCTCGGCACCAGCACGAGAACTTTCGGCTCGGCTACGGCATGGGCATCTACTGGGAAACGCTTGCGAGGTGGATGAACACGCGTGATCGTCGCGACGCTCAGCGTCTGGGCGTGCCCCTCGTTTTCCTGCAGGCCGTTGACGAGTGCGGCACGATTCAGGGCGATCCCGACGCGGG